TACATATATATATTTGATGATTTTGGACTAGATGAATATGTGATTTAATAATATACGTATGCAGGTAGCGTTTTGTTTAATAACGTGCACGTAAAACGTAAACGAGTAGAGGGAAAGAGAGAGGAGATATAATACGAGAGGGAAAGAGAGAGAGAGAGAGAAGGGAGAATCGTGAGTACAACATCATCGGAGGCGGGCTGCTTGGTCGTCGTCCGCTCTTTCGTATAATAAAGACGCGTTCTACCTCCACTCACCCCGTAAACCTTTGGAGACTCCAGATCTCCCTTTTTCTCTCTCTTTTGTATCTATCTTCTTTCTGCTTTTTTTTCTCTCTCTCTCTCTCTCTCTCTCTCTCTCTTTCTTCCTCCTTCTCCCTTCTTTTCTTCCTCCCTCTCCTTTCCACTAACTCTCTTTTTCCTTCTCTCTCCTTTTCTCCATCGCTTAACATCTCCTCTCCTCTACTCACTTCTCTCTTTCTATCTTCTGTTTTGTCTTTCTCTTTCTCCCAATGTCTTTCTCTTTCTTCCTTCCTTCTTTCTCTCTCGCTCGCCCCCGCTCTCTTTCTCTCTCTATTCTCTCCCTCCTTGGCTGCACTGCCGGGCATCCGAGGTATTTTTGAACCGGTCCACGATGGGAGGCTGCAGGGCCGCACTCCCTCAACTTCCTCGAAATAATTCTTCTTCTCAACAGTGAAAATTAAAATCAACAATTTACCCCCAAATTATTATTCTTCCGCTTCGAACATTCATTCTCACCTTTATCTTCTATCATCTTCATGTTACATTAGTACCATTAAGTAAAAACTAGAATTTTTAAAACTGTTCTCAATGGAAAAAAATTGGTGAATTTTGCTAGATTAGTTAAAATATGTGAGAAGAAGAAAAAGAATTATGATTATTCTCAATAATAATTAATTGTTGTTTTCTTCCATTAATATAAAGCTAATTAGTATCAGCTCCATAAGGATTAATTTTTTGATTATGATAGTTCGTGATGTTGTAAAACTGTCTTCGTCGAATGATTGTGACGTAAACTTTGTGTGTATATAATAAGGTATATCAGTGAGAAACAGAGTCGTAACGATCGAATCGTCAATGAATCATCAAAGGCCACCGCAACTGAGTTGAGCTGCTCAACAGGCGGTGCAAAGGGTTGTCTACATCAGCTAGACACGCACTCATAAACACTGTTAGTTGCGCACGCACTTACGCAGTAGTGAGTGCGCTTTCAAACACGTTTTCCTCTCCTCAAGCATTCTAGAAAGACACAGAGAGAGAGAGAGAGAGAGACTCCCTCTGGAGCAACAGGTGGCGTCGTCGTTTCGCATCATTCCCATGTTTGAAATTGCGTGACTTTTACATAAACAACCCTTATCCATGGACAATTAACGCTGTCCCATTATAGCCATAAACACAGTTTGAATTATCTCTTTACTAAAATTATTATCGATTAACAGCTTAATAATAATTTTTCGCGTTAATTGAAATTTAATGGAATTATTGAAATATGTTAATAATTTCATATAGATTGAATCAAGATTAATAATCTTAATTAATTTGTATGGGATATTCTGTATCTTGAACATTAGAAATCCGTGGAGTATCCCGTTTTGGAAATTAGGATTTCCCTTACCTTTTGGGAATCAGGAATCCGTAATAGATATCCCGTACCTACGGAAATTAGAAATCCGTAGGATAATTTAGAATTTTTTTACTAAATTAATTCTTAGAGATAACCGGTATCTTCGAAAATTAGGGATTTCCCTTACCTCTTGGAAATTATGAATCCGTAAAGGATTTCCCCTACCATTTGGATATTAGGTATCTGTAGGATTTTCCTTACCTCTTGAGAATTAAAAATCTGTAGAATATCTCGAACCTATTTGGAAATTAGAATTATACCCAGAATCTCCATAAGATATAATTTCCAAAAGCCGACAAATATCCCGATAGAAATGAATCATTTAAACAAATTTTGAAAATCGGTGAACAAAATCCAAAATGAATCGTTTCCCTCTGTTACGGAATTAATACATCAAAATGTACTCCATTTCTTCAGGAGTTCTACTAAAATGCTACTGATGTATTAATTCCGTAACAGAGGGAGACAATTCCTTTTAGTCTTTGTTTACCGATTTTCAAAATTTGTTTAATTGATTCATTCCTATTGGGATATTTGTCGGCTTTTGGAAATTATATCTTGTGGAGATTCTGGGTATTTCTAATTTCAGCAAAAAGTAAGGGAAATACCTAATTTCCGAAGGTATCGGATATCTATATAGAAATTAATTTAGTAGAAAATTTTGAAATATTCTACGGATTTCTAATTTTAGAAGGTGCGGGATATCTATTACGGATTCCTGATTACCAAAAGGTAAGGGAAATTATAATTTACAAATGGTGAAGAAAATCCTCCGGATTCTTAATTTCCAAGGGGAACCGGATAAAAAAAATTAATTTCCTCGAAAATTCTGATATCCGTTGCTGGGATTTAATTGTTGCAAGTGCAATCGGAATTGTATGTAAATTAAGTATTAAACCTTTTTCCCATGTCAACGTTTCTTCTTGTTCCAAAAATCCAATCACAATTTTTCCTCTTTTAGTATATTATTATATAGCAATCATTTCAGTACGTAAAACCAGAAGTCCTCCCAATGCAAAAGTTTGCCAAACAACACAAGTTGAGAATCACTGAGTATAATTATGACATCTAATTAGGTTTTTAGCGGTTGGCAACTGGTTCGACCCGCGGCAGTCCTCCAGGATCGGCACGGTCAAGGTCTTTTTTCTTCAAGTCCGCGCTACTACTGGTGCTCTCTCTCTTTCTTTCTCTCTCCCTATGGGCCCTACGATCATCTCGATAGAGATTCCAACCGAGGCAGTTTCCCCTCACTTCTTCTTCTTCTTTTTTTTACTCTTTTGTCCGCGACCAATCCACGCAACACTGGTTCAGAGGACCCATTTCGTTGTTGTGTGTCGGAGCACTTTGCACTAGCTTTCGCCATATCGAAACTCGTTTTGCTTTCCAACTCAAGTCGCTGAGGTCGACGAAACCATGCATGCAAAAGACGACAAAATCCGCGAAGTCTCGTGCGAAAGAGCTACGATGTCCGTGGACCTAATAAACACCCGATGAATAGCCGCGGCGAAGCTTTTGGTGATTTTTTTTTTGTGGAGAGAGCGTTCTCAACTTATATATAGGGGCGCACGTGGATTAGCATTGGAACGTGAAAAAAAAGGGCTCTCTTTCTCGTTAGATGCGCAACGGTGGTACTTGGGTTCGGGTTCGAGACGTCATTAGGGCACGCCACGTGAAGCCGGAGATCACGATGAGATAAAACGGTTTGAAAGAACGCGCATATGAGAGAGAGGAAAAGAGTAGAGAAATAGAGATGGAGCTGTGTGTGGACAAAGAGGAGGGAACCAACTGCATCAAAATGAAGAGAGAGAAAGAGAGAGGGGAGTGACAAAGAAGTATAGGATCAAGAAGAAAAAGAGAGAAAGAGATATGGGATATGGAAAGGGTACAAGACGAAGAGTGATTGAGCTGTAGTCGATCTTGCTGCTCTGTCCAAGTCTCCAATGTCTTGATGTTGGGTATAGTCGGATCGAAGATCACGTTCGCTCTCAATACCCAGAGTTCTTTCTCCCCTCCTCTTCTCTCTCTCTCTCTCTCTCCCTTCTCGCGGTGCTAGAACGATCTTGCTAACCTCTAATTACCCATTTGACATACCACCACGTCAAATTCAAAAGCGAATTACTCTCCTTTTTCTGTTTCCTCTTCATCATTATATTTCATCTTTAAAACGTTTCTTTAGTATTTCAAATGTTTGGCGTATTTAGTGTCCATATTTGAACTTCTTCTTTTTCATATCTTCCAAGAATTAATCAATGAAGATATCGAGTAAATAATGTTGTACTGATTTTTTAATTGCGATAATTATAAAAAAATTTCAGTGAAACAAAAAATTGATAAATTGTCATAAATTCCCATTAAATGTCACTAGGAGTAAAGAAACATCATTAGGATTTAAGACGTTAAAGTACTTGAGCTCGCCGAGAGAAATGAAAACATTAATGGTCGTCTGCGGTGAATACCTTTTCGTTTCACGTGGGAAACACTTGGGGGATGTTGATGATGAGCAAAAAATAAAAGTAGTTTTACATTCACGGGAACAAAAATTTTTATATGAAAGTCATATCTAAAAGTAAAGAATTCAATGGTTTAATCAAGTAAAATGCGTCCCTGGGATCAGAGATACATAGTGTATGGGGTATATAACGACAACGTTCGAGAGCGTTGCTTCTCTGGTTCGTCGTGAAGTAAAACCCGAGGACACTACGAGATGGCTTTGCTGCAAAAACAGTCTCGCGAACCATCGTAAAGCCGTCCAAGATGCAGGGTTGCATGTACCAATCTTCCAAGCCAAGAGATGGACCACAAATTTCCTTCTTGATGATAATTAAGGTTGTTCTCGAAATTACTCGCAGTTTTTGCCAAAACGTTTTTTCTACAGGAAAAAAAAACCCTTTTTGGGATATTAAAAAGTTTTTTGTAGTACTAAAGTTTAAAAAAAAAAAATTAGTTATTTTAGTTTACTGTGCGATGGAAAGCGGATGTTTGAATATGCAATAAAAAAAAAAGAAATGAGCATGAAAATCCAGAAATAAGTGATGACTGACAGTATTTCATCTAAACTAAACACTCAAATGACTGACGTCGTAGAGTCATGTTTTCCCTGTCACCAAAGAAAAAATATTGCTGTTAGAATCAACATAGACATATTCCGAGATGAATATTTCTTTTAATAGATGCACGTTAGAAAATGTTTACACACTGAAAATTAGTCCATAGATTAGAAATGTGGAAAATTATTTAATAAATCTTCTGTAATAATCTGTTACAGCTAAAAATTATATTTAACACTGCCTTTGGGAAACTTATTACTTCTGTTTTTACTAGAGGATATCTGTTTAATATATCTAAAATTTTGTTTTCAGCACTGCTAATTGTTCCCAAAAGATGTTCATCAGGTGAGGCTAAAATTTTTTATTACAGGCGGCAAATTAGTCATCAAGGTTAAACTTTTTAATTACAAATTAGTAGAGTAGTTTATCTGTTTAAAGTTCGGAAAATTCTTAAATAAACCTTCTAAAATCTTTTAAAAACCTTTTAAAACCTTCTGAAACGTACTGCTAAACATACCTAAACAACCAACTGCTGGAATTTTTGTTTCGTTTAGAAGTCTTAATTGCTTTTGTGCTCACTTCTATGTCCACTTGAGAATATCTGTACAGTGATCATCAGCTCTCCTAAGTGTTCCCAAAAGATATTCATCAGGTGAGGCTAAAATCATCGACTTCAACCCCTATCTCTTTCTTCTTCTTCAGTCTCAACATCCCTCAACATCATCTCTTCATTGGGTCCACTGGCCATACACCTCTTGTTCTCCTATACTTCGTGTCTTGATTATCGAGTTTCTCTCTTGAATTCCCTAAATGTTTTTTCCTCTTTTCATCCGCTACATCTGCACTTGTCGCTCTCTCTCTCTCTCTCTCTCTCTCTCTCTCTCTCTCTCTCTCTCTCTCTCTCTCTCTCTCTTCATCTTCTCTCTGACCATCATCAAGAAGAGTCCGTAAATTCCTCTGTCCTTTTTCACTCATGGTCTTCGTCTTCTTCTTCTTCTTCTTCTTCTTCTCATCTGGAAGCCGTCGTGCACAAATGAGGTTGTCGCGTCAGCGCGTGCGTCCAAACTCTCCTTTATATCCCCTTTTCGCGAGGAACCCACAAGGAAACGTTGATCCAAGGGACTCTGAACGAGTTTTTTTTTCCCCACGTCTTTGCTTGTTTGTCTTATTTTCTTTTTTTTTTTTGCTTCCATTTTCTTCCGTGCAGCATCCCACAGTGTTTCTTGCGCGCCTTCTGTCGCTCTCCTGCACCGACCTGTGGAGACCATTGTTCTCGGAAATGTACTGCATACAACTTGGCGAACCACGTTGAATGTTTGTTGAAATACCGATAACACTGTCATCGTACGCCCGATATAAAAGAACCGCGAAGCAATGAAACGTTCAAGAGAGCTGCCGTGTTTCTAGAGAGAGAGATAGAGACAGAGAAGGAGTGTTTTGTGGTTAACCAAACGGATTTAAAATCCAAAAAAATTCTCTGTAAAAATATTTCACAAATCAATTTTTTTGGGGGAAAAATGATTTGGAAAATTTTATTAAAAGCTGTGAAACAACTTTTCTTTTATAATTTTTAAATAAAGTTCTCTTTGTATATATATATATATAGTAACTTCGTAAGTTTTAAAAATCCTCGCGCACTTTTATGCGAGAAGAAAGATGGAATCGTTTAAGCACCAGGCGCATATATGAAGCGGCGTATCCTTTTTTTTGGAAAGAAAGTCCAATTATCGTTTTTGGGGGAAAAAGGTTGGGGCCTCATTATCAACACGCAGCTGCTCTGGGGCTAATAAGCCATCACAGCTTCTGTGCAAAACATACCTTGATGCAAATTCACGAACCCTGTGTGTAGGAATGGATAAACGAAGGGAATAACTGATGATGAAGAAAAGAAGGGCGATCTTTTTCCTATGGTCTGAAAAGATCGAGTATCACGAAGAAGTCTCGAAATGAGACTCGGATCAGAAGAGAAGAGAGAGAGAGAGAGAGAGAGAGAGAGAGAGAGAGAGAGAGAGAGAGAGAGAGAGAGTCTTAAAGAGATCCTATATTCGAGGAACACGCAACTCAAGAATAAAGCAGAAGGGAAGCAGAAGCGTAGGAGGCGGGTTATCTCTGAAAGCTTAGAGGCCGATGCAAGAGAGGTACGAAACCGGTAGTAAAGTTATTCGAAGAGCTGGGCATTCAAGTACCCGCGTGGTCGAGCGATCTCAGCGGATAAGAGCAGGAGGTGTAACTTACTAGGTCTCGAGCCTCGTACACGCCTTGGTACACCGTCCCTTTATATATTTATCTCCATCGTAATTCTGATTGTGTACACAATTATATATATCTGCTGAACGTATATATATACACACACTGACTTTCGCATCTCCGATAACACTGTTTACCATTTTCTTATACCGATCTTGAAACACACTTTCTAAAACATTAGAGTAATTCTTTTTGGTCCCTAGAAATCTAAAATCCTCCCAAAATTATAAGCTATATGATAAATTCTGTCTGAAAGTGAAATGGTAAACCTGGATTATAAAGTAATTAAACACGAATGGTGTGCGGGATGAAGGAAGGAGATGCTGCTGATGAGATACGAGAGGGGAGTTCGACGCTTAGCGTTGAAAGTCTGACTAATTAACTTTTATACGCAGTGAATATCCTCTCTGGAGAAGACTCCGAAATCGACTGTATTGACTCTTCCACCTGTCAAAAATAATAATTTCCAATTCTCTATGGAATCATCAAAATTAGCTAATTCAGTTTTTATTCTAAAATAGTCTCGAAAACATCCTTGAGACTTTAATCTTGTCACGTACTAAACCCTAAAGCTACAAAACTGTATAACATATCTCCATATTAACGAAAAAAAAAACACACTACAATTTGCATAAATATCGCCGTATACCAGTTTCATAAAATGTTCCTTATCTTGGAAAATGCAATTTTAATGCAATTTTTTTTTCTCCTCATACCAAGTAGGAGAAACAGCAATTTAGGTCGATTGCAGAAATACAAATTTTCTATATTGGATGAATTTATTTGGAAATTATCAATAGAGAGAAGAATTATTCTGAGAGCGGTATAAAGCATGTCAGGAGGAAGGTTACATATTGAATATGATGGCCTTGGTGGAACGTTTTAATCTAATGCTTAACCCTCACTTCACCTTGATACTTACCTATATGACCTTTCAAATTGCGAGTATGAGATGAGAAGAAAAGTTCATTGAACCTAATGCTGCTGCAGGAGAGTAGGTGAACACTCGGACATTTACGATAATCCTTTATCGCTAAGGAGCCCCCAAGAATCATAGGGAGAGATATGTATGCGATTTTCAGAACCTGTTATGGTCGTTCCAGAGCCTCCAAGGTGGTCTACAATTGCAGTAATAACTCAATTATCCTCTCTTGGGTCCGTACCCGCCTATCTGCCTCTTTTACTCTCAAATCTCTCACTCGGACCCTTTTCCGCTCCCTACTCTCTTTCTTTCTCTCTCTTCATATACAAGAAAGAGAGAGAGAGAGAACTTCTTCCTTCCTTTTGAATCTTCCTCATCCCTTTCATCTCCCTTTCTCCCTCTTGTTCCTCTTTCTCATAATATTTTCGCATCATCCTCTTCTACCTTCAATCTTCGGGATCTTCATATACCTATATATATATACCCTGTGAATTATTTTTCTTCCATCTATTATCAGAAACGTTTGTGTTCAATGTTCAGTACACACGTTTTTCTACCTTGGAAGATGCGACTGATTGCTGTTCGAGTTTCACAAGTCACTCTCCCGTTCCTCCCGTTCCACTTCCCCTTTCCTTTCTTCTTCACCACTGTCCTTTCTTCCACTCGATCCTGGCATAACTTCGAGATATAGGGCTATGGCTCTCTCTTTCTCTCACAAGAGCAAGATTGTTTTCTCAAGGCGAAACACACGGCAGTCTTCGAATTTTTTTACCAAGACCCAAACATCTTGAGCAAAGTTTGATTAAATCATTATACGGATCTCGTTGAATCAACATTTAATGTTTTAACAATTAAATTTTGAAATAATAATAATAGCAGCATAATAATAAAAATAATAGTAATAATAGTAAAAATAAAAATAATAATAATATAATAAAAATAACTAAATAATTATTTCGAGAAAAATTTTGACCGCCATATTGGATTCGCTATTTTGTAATTTAAAAATCTGACATCAGATTATTAATCAGCGACCCCGAAAACCCCTAGATACCAAGTTGAATAAAATATTATAAATTTTTTAAAAATTTTAACCGCTATATTGAATTTTGAAAATCTAACATCAGATTCCTCATCAGCGACCCCTAAAACCGCTAGATACCAAATTTTATAAAAAATTAATAACTTTTTAAAACGACTTGATCTACAGCAAAACGGTCAGACACGGGTATTTTTTTTGGTCCTATAGTTTCCGAAAATGTTTGATTTTTTTGTGGGTCAAAAAAAAAAGTTAAATTTTCTCTGACGGTGTATAGGAACAATTTATATACGTACGGATCTAAATGTTATGAATAAAAGAGAATTAATTATTCCGGGTATAGGAGATTTTGATTTCATGCACACATGCACTTTGGTACAAAAAGACATATACATATATGTGTGTAGTTAAGCCGGAGATTGCATTAAATTACGGATTACAGAATTTATGGTCTTTTCTAAACATAACTTAGGATCTATAAATTTTCAGTTAGACCGAGTTTATCCATAAATTTGATTTATTGGAACATTGCACTTTCTTTTAGTGCGGATATACATATATATATAAATATATTTGTAGAATGTATCAGGGAAGCTTTGGAAAACCGAATAACGATTTGATATCATGAAACGGATTTGATAATAATATATTGTATCAGCTATTAAACATCCCCAAGGTTATTACGATCCTCATGAAATCTTCTAATCTGATCGCATCATCAAATATTATCTCCCAAATAGAGTTGCGCGTAAGAATTCCGTTTTCTCTTTTTGCATAAAATCTTTAGAATAAAAAACGAAATCTTTTTTTTATATCTGCAATTTAATTGCAATTTACTTCCAATTTACTACTTCAAAGTAATTCTTATCCGTTTCTGTAATTTAGAATTATTCATCAAATCATTATTCTGTAATTCAATTATTGTTATAGAAGTATTTAGATTTGATAATACCAGAGTGTTGTTTATGGAGTTGAACAGAAGGAAATACTTGTTAGTTTTATGCAAATGACTTAATTCCCCCTTGAAAGAGAGAGAGAGAGAGATTATTTCATTCTCTGTTGATTTTAATGGCAAGTAATAAAGTCACGCCCACTGATTGAGTGAAATGAATTTTGTTGATTGTTACATATAATACA